GGAAATTAAAAACAAACTAGATTTTATGCCATCTTTAAATAATGATTTCTCAACATGTGACTCCTTTTAGCACCTACTTTGACATAGGAATTTGCCTGTATGTATAATGAATGCATAAAATATGCACGGCAAATCAGTTCATAGATATTTCGAATGTGCAAAAAGAAAGTTAAAAGTCCATGGGAGAAACAGAAATTTCTTCCATAAAGTTGAGAATAAAAATGTAAAATAAAAAGCACATTGTTCTATTTTTTAGAATGCCTGTTTTCCATATCAGGAACCTGGATTTGCTTCCTTGGTCCAGTTCCTGATTCCAGCTTCCTGTTCATGGAGATCCTGGGAGGCAGTGGTGATGGCTCAAAGTGAATGGGTCGCTGACACCCACATGAACAGATTGCATTTCTGTCCCACATTTGTGACCCAACCCAGTCCCCGCTGTTGCAGACTTTAAAACTTAGATAATGAGAAGGTGGAATCTCTCTCTCTCAAAGTGAATGGGTCGCTGACACCCACAATGAGCGGATTGCATTTCTGTCCCACATCTGTGACCCAGCCCAGTCCCCGCTGTTGCAGACTTTAAAACTTAGATAATGAGAAGGTGGAATCTCTCTCTCTCTCTCTTTCTTCCTCCATCCCTCCCTCAAATAAATAATTTGAAAAAAATCAATCCAAGTGTTTGTCACAAAACAGAATCTTTTCATTTCCAATGACACCCCTATGTACCAACATTAAATTTTATCTGGTAGTAAAAATCTAGCAATATCAAATACATAGTCCCTTCATGTCCCCTTCACAATAAGCGTAACTCTTCCTCCAGTTCAGCAATCTATTACAGTGTCCGTATTCTAGACCACAACTAAAAAGAAAAAAAAAGACTTCTTATTTTTAAATCCACCATTTCTTGGGCTAATCGATTTCCTTCTCTTTTTCTTATTGCCCATCCACACCCACACAGCTGCACATACTCACACATATATCCTAACCCTATGCTTGCCAGCAGGAGCACAACACAGATGATTCCCAGGATTACTGTGCATGGGTTTGCTGTAAAAATTTAAAAAGTGGGTATATAATGAGCTTGGTAAACAGATAAGAACCTTAACAGAATGAACATTTATGCTGGAAATTTGCATTAAAATCACATATTCATTCTAATCAAAAATCTCATGGATACTACACTAAAATGGATCTCCCAATATATAAAGTAAAATAAGTAACTAGACATTCCATATGAATAGATACGGTTTTTAAATATTTTAGTTTTTTTCTACATGACATTATGTTCTCAGAAATCAGAAAACAAGAAAAGTTACCTCTTTTTTTGTGAGCTAGATGTCTTTCTCTTTCTTTTTCTTTGCGTGAGACGATTTCATTTCTGTATATCATTTTCTCCTCACTCATTTCTGAGAGCTTCAGGCTAAAAACACAGCAAGGACCAGAGATATTTCAAAAGACGTAATAGATTCAATTA